CCTGTTTACACACGACTTTGTGGGAACTGGCGAGTCAGGATATTTCTGACGAAACCTACGTGCGAATTTTCTGTAAATGTTTTTCCTTGCAATAGTTTCGACAATAAACACACGCTGTTTAATAGTGAACTTCATTTCCACCGTCTGTCGACAGCTGTAAACATTCCACTCCACTTCCACAGCAAGACAAAGACTGACTGTTTAATGCAACCTCGGGTTCCGATTATGCAACCATCGGCGTAGGAGCACTGCAGTCGCGGGGAGGAGTTGCATCCGTTCTGCGGTGGTATGACTCACGGCAAATTGCAGCCGCGGCGCGCACTTGATTGTACGCACTGTATTACATATAATCTTGAAACCATGAAACAGTGCGTCTTTGCCGTTATACTGCAAAATAAAATTTGAATGTCATTGTAATTATGGATCAGTAATTCTGAATTTATCGAAGCTTGTAATTCAAATATCCGATAAATTTTAGCACTTGCCTATACGACAGCTTGATATCACCCCACATCGGATTATGGTTATTGGGTCTAATTATACCGGTGTTGTGGGTAGTTTAATTGTAGTTGCAGCTATTTTTTTTAAGTATAATTAGTATACAGCATGAAAAACCGTACTGATTGCGTCCTTAGACTAGAAAATTATTGAAATCGTGAATTCGAATTCCATTAGGAGCTGGAATATATATCCACGTTTCTTTATATAAATTTGTGATGGGCAGATTCCCCACCCAAGGAGTCTTACGAAATGTACCAAATTAATTCGATTCATAGTTTGAGAAGTTAATTCCGAATTGCAACAGACAAAATGGGCTCGTTTCTAAAGAGTGAAGAAGATTTTTTTCATACAAGCTTATAATCAAGAAATGAAAGGGATAAGAAAGTAAAGCTATCCCCATAAAAAGGTCGTGAAGGCCCATGGGGGTGTGAGATGTTGAGGCTCCCACATTATCTAAATAATCAGCTCACAGATGGCGGTAAGTTTGTCAGCCTTACGCGCTGGCCGCCCTTTACTTCAAGGAAGGTTCCTGGTACTCATTTCTGCTAGAGCAGCCGTGTCAAACATACAGCCCCCTATAGCCACAAAGTGCGGCCCCTCAACTTTTAGAGCTAATTGATATTAAAATCAATATTAAAATTTTAGTAGAAATATTTTTTGTAAAGACAATTTTCCAACAAACCAGAAGATAAGAAGTCTCACGCAGACATAAATTAGCAGGCTGCAGGAATTCAATGTTTTGCTATTTCTAACATAATTTCTTGTGTAATCTCTCTTTTTACATATTGAAAAGCTGTTTGATACTTGTCAAAAATGGCATTCTCTTGCTTTTTAAAACTGTAAGATATGTGACTTTAGGTAATTATATTGAAATTATTCCTAAATAATAAATAGAATTAAATTTCCTTGTATCAAAATCTAATGTATATTTCTATTTTGATGTGCAGCACTGGACTATTATTTATAGGGCTGAGGTGGCCGTCTGTACAAGTTTAGTTTGACATGCCTGTGCTAGAGGCTGAGTTGACCGCAGGGCCATAGTGCTGCTGGAAGGATTAGGTATACGTATATAAAGTGTGGCCAAATTATGTTTTTCTTTCTGAACATACACCCATTTGACGCCAGTAAGACGACCATAATCCATTACACGTATTCTAATGTAATCTATTGCCATGCTCTTTTCGAATACTGTACAATGCAATATTCAGTCTTCTAGTTGCGCTGCTAGATAACCGTTCGTTGCTGCATCGAATTTTGGCAGCGCCAGTTACAAAGGTTATATGGCGTTTGAATTAACTCGTGTATATGTACAATAGCACGTGTGATTCGTTTGCACAATGGTCAGTGACAGACAGCCACCCCTTCGCATTAATATCCTCCTGCAAAGAAGCAGTCGGCACAACAAGAAACCGGCGACTTTTGTTTGTCACAGTAAACCTACCGTAGTTCCTTCCAGGCCCACAAACATGCGTGGCCATGGGCCATTCAATTTCTCCATCCTTTAGACTAATTATAAATTGAAGTATCCCTGTACTTAATTAAGTATGCGCCATGAAGATTTATAGTTGAATGGAAGTACAGTGTGTTCAGTTCAACCCTCCCGCATTTTAATTAATCATTGCGAACAAATTGTGATAAATTATGGATTATAATTAACAGTAGATGAAAGAAAAACTGAAAGAATTTTATTGCCGTTTTTCTTCGGTGAAGCTACAGTATCTGACCGCGTATACCTTGACATGGTAGAACAGTTCCTGTATCCCTAGGTAGCCGATCTGCAGCCTTACATAATCTTCCAACAAGATGGAGGCCCCTCCCTCACATTGGGGTCTGGATGTTCGGAGGTCCCTCAATGCCACCTTCCAAGATCGCTGGATTGGACGTGGCGGATTATTTCGGTGACCACCACGTTCACCGGACCTCACTCCGTTCGATTTCTTCCTCTGGGGTTACGTGAAGGGCCGTGTGTTCGTGCCTCCAGTGAATGACCTCCAAGATTACGAGCCCGCATCCGTGAAACGATTGCTACTGTACCAATGGACATTTTGGAAAGAACGTGGCAAGAAATTGAATACAGATTGGATATTGTTCGTGCTACCAGTGGTGCACATGTAGAGGTTTATTAGTGTGTCAAATAATTCTTTTTCCGTTCTTGTATTTTCTGTGGTTTCATTTTCCTACCATTCATAATTTCTGTTCTAAGATCTGATAAAATATGGGAGGTTTGACTGGAACATCCTATATCTCTACCCGTTCTTAACTGCGGTACTACCTGAAAGTGAGCGCTCAATTTCACATCGCGGCTGCTATATACCCGAAGAAAGAGCCCCGGCACCAATTGTACCGGAGATTGTATTGTCGATAATTTTGGACCATGAACTCTCATAAGCCGTCTTGCAAACGAAATAAGTCCCGAAGAATTTTATCTTCTTTGGTATAAGGACATGTATTTTGTTGAAAGTCAACCAACGTTTCGGAGAAACAACCTGCTTCCATCTTCAGGGTTGAAGAATAAGCCAAGCAAGGAAATATCATGAAACAGGCAGAACTCAGATCCTATCAACTAAATTCCATTCATTTCGCGTTCGAAGCCATACACAAACTCCATCAGTCGATAGTGGAACATCGATTAAGCCTGGCACTACCTGTTAGGTAGTTTTTTTTTGGGGGGGGGGTAGTGGTCAGAATGAGTCTACAATTTGGCCTAGTGTACCAGCCGTCTCTATGCATGAGGGGGGGTCGAACTGACATGGGGCGAAATCAGGATGAAGTGAACGTGTTTTCCAACTTCCCTGAGTACAAACAACACGTCACAGCAAAGTAATGCCATGCTATCACAGACCAGATAGTGGATATTATCAGTGTGAGGTGAAGAGGTCATAAAAGTGCTTCGACTCCAAGTCTCAACGTCCAGTCTTTCCTGGTGTGTTCTGTGCTCCGAGTGTGTCGACAGTGCTGATTCTCCGATCCCTGTGCTCTTGTTTACATAGGTCTGCTTATGGTCCCTGTGTCATCTCTCCGCGTGGAGTCTAGTCAATTTGCTGAAGGGGGATTTTACTCTCATCAGCAGCAATATTTGGGTTTCATACGTCCAGATCAAGTGGAGGAACTGCTTTTTGATTTTTGCCCTGGTAAGAACACTATATTGTTCCTTGCAGACCAATGAAGGCATATGTTTTCAAATAGGTCATGACCGCTTTCTTATAAAACAGTATTTATTCTGCATTTATGGTCATCTTCCCATTTCCTGCGACGTTGTGTAGCCCATGCAATCGGGACAGAGAGACCTTAAATAAATTAAGAATGATAAATGAATGATGAAATAGGCCGTTTGGGAGCCAGGATAGCTCAGTCGGTATAGCGACTGGCTACGGGCTGGACGACCAAGGCGTCGGAGTTCAAGTCCCGGTAGGGTCATTTTCTCTTCTCCATGTCGTCCAGACCGGCTCGGGGGTCCACCCAACCTCCTATCCAAAAGATACCGGGGACTCTTTCTCTGGGGGTAAAGCGGCCGGGGCGTGAATCTGATCATTCATCTCCAGCTAGTGCCAAGGTCAAGAAAATTTGGATCTACACATCCACTTCCCCATACGCCTTCATGGCTTAGTGCTTAATTAGCTAAGCACAAGGGACAACTTTACTTTTAATAAACCGTCTTTGAAGAAATAAAAATATCTAATTTTTAGGTCCAGAAGCCTGTTTCGGGCTTCATTCCAGAACGTGTTTTGAAAAACTGAGATGAAGTTGCCTCTGTGCGTAAGCACCACGCCATGAAGGCGTACTGGTGACGTGGATTTAGCTCACATGGAGGTGAAGGGATTAGATGTATGCTCCGACCACTTTACTTGCTGGAATAAAGCCCCTGTTAAAAGTTAGGAAGTTCTGTGGGACGTTTAGTCTGTCTGAACTTTGTGTCGAGGAGAAAAATTCCTGTTTCGAATCTGTCTCCTGCCGACCGACCTATAACGTATGAAGTTATATCTGATGTATCTCAGAGCAGGACTTAGGAAATTAAGATCAAGTTTCATTACACAGACTTACAAGTAGACTTTACAGATGACATAAACTCATAGCCTCTGTCACCAAATGTTGTCATTACGAGCAATCCTTTGTTTTAAAAACGTGGAAGAACATATTCCTATAACAGATCATGGAGGCCTATAGCGTTGTGAGACGCCGAGGCTTCCACATTTTCTAGACAATCGGCTCACAGATGGCGGTGAAGTTGTCAGTCTTACGCTCCGGCCGCCCTTTAGCCACAGGAAGATTTCTGGTACAAGCTGAGTTGACCCCAGGGCTGTAATGCGGCTGGAAGGATTGGGTGAATTGAAAAAATCCACCTCATTGGGACTCGAACCCGCGACCTTCCAGCTTCTAGCATAGTGCCTCAATCAACTACCGCTACCGGGATAGCGCAGTCGGTATAGCGACTGGCCAGGGGCTAGACGATCGAAGGGTCGGATTTCGAGTCCCGACAGGGTCATACGTCTTCATGGCGTAATGCTTAATTAGTTAAGCACAGGGACAATTTTTCCTTGTAGAATAATTCATTTTATATGCGGTCGCAGACATTTAATGGATCGGCGATGGGTAAACACTAATCTCTCACCGCTCTAAATACGGACCAGCCTAGGACAGTACACGTTTCAGTTGTTCGTTACAAGTAGCCAAAGACTAAACGAAATCCGTTGAAGAGAATCTTTCTTGAGAAGCGAAGAGTCTATCAGCTGGTTAAGGATTAATTTTCGTTTATGGAACACGAAGTTTGTTATTGTGTTCACAACCCACCACTATTGACACAAAACTTGAGCCATTTTAATCT